GATGAATTTATCACTTTTTTTGCCTTCAAGTATGATACAGGCTAAGAGAGGAGCTAGGTACAGGTATAATGAAATATGAAGGAACCCTGGTGGCACAGTGATTAAGTGCTCAGCTGCTAACCAAATGGTCCCTGGTTCAAACCCACTAGCTACTCTGTAGAAGAAAGATGTGGCAGTCTGCTTCTATAAAGATTACGGCCTTGGAAACCATATGGGGCAGTTCTACTTTGTCCTGTGGGGTTGCTATGAGTCAGAATCAACTGGATGGCACACTACAACAAAATAGGGATTGTGATGATAAAGAGATACAGGGTCTTTCTGAGAACTAAGAGGAAGGGCATGAAGGAGGAAAGGCTTAGTGGAGATACAAGCAAACCTGTAGGGTAAAAGATACGTATTGCAGGAGAAGAAGATGTCACAGGTAGGGGATGGTCGACAACAGTTTGTAAGATGGGACTGTCAAGTTTCAGATGTAATTGCGAATATACGTAATGCCCATTTTCCACTATTAATGAAGCATATAAATGTTTATAATACATAGATTTTATTCAACAGTTAATCATTTTACTCAAACATGACTTTTTAAATCCAACTACTAACTATAGTAGTAATCAAAACAAAACAACATTTGCCATTGCCATTGTGTCGATTCCAACTCAAGTGCGACCCTGTAAGATAGAGTAGACCTGCCTCATAGGGTTTCCAAGGAGCGGCTGGTGGATTCGCACTGCCGACCTTTTAGTTAGCAGCAGAGCTCTTAACCGCTGCACCACCAGGGCTCCTAGTAGCAATTAATTTGCTCTAAATATCTCTTTAACTTATACACTGTCAAATTTTAAATAACATGTATTTTCAAAAGTGTGAACACAAAAAATCAGAGATGGAAACAGATACAAAGCAGATAAACCACAGTAGAGTAAGTAGTGTTATTTTGTAATGTAGTCAGAATGCTTGGGACTTACAACATAGAATAATGATTTCAGTTACAATTACATTAAAAGGAAATAGCAAAACAGTATTATTGAATCACAAGGAAATTGCTGGTTGTGATTTATTATGTAAATACCTTCCCTCATAATTCTTCTGTGTAGTGAGAGTTTGTTTTGACATTACAGTATTGAAAATTGTGAACGTAAAAAAAATGTATATTAAAGCAAATTAGATTTCCTTTCTTTAAATCTTACTAGAATCTAGGAATAGTTGATGATAGGAAAAAAGATAATTATGAGAATAAATCAGTGAAAACCACCTTTAATATTCTCTTTAAAGTACTTACCTGTGATTTAATATTCAGTATTTGAAGTAGGACAGGTTACAAAGGAATGACTGTATAAAAATTTCCATGTATTCAAGGAGATCTATAACAAAATTGATCTGAGAATCTATCTACTTTTCCACACAAATTCTTCAGATTGTTGGTTTTGTTTTGTTTTGTTTTATTTTGAGACAAAGCACCTTATATCTACATTTGGTTGTTTTATCTCTGTCTCCATTTACTGTCTTGTGTTCATGACCTTTGACAAATCCTCACTTCGTGATCATCCATTTCTTTGGATGCTGAAAGGATACAGTGATGTGTTTTCTTGATCTCACAGAAATGTCTTGGAGGCTGAAATACAATTTGTCGCTCATTTAATACACTTTCTCCTTCCTCTGTAAGAAGGATGGCTCTGCATTTATATAACATGCAAATTCAGTGTTTTATTCAAAATAATCATCTTGAACAAGATTTAGAATGAGGGGCAAGTATTTTATTTGTTCTTTCTGGAAAGGATCCATGTCTGCCTACAGAAATGCATAAGACATGGTGAAGTAAACTGAGGAAATTGAAGCAAACTGGGGAAACGAAGATAAGGAATTAGAAACGTCTGTTGAGGACTGCACATCATGAAAAAAATATCTTGCTAGAGATGGGCCACAAATTTGGCTCAAAGCTCTCTTATAACTAACTCAGAGGAGAAAAGCCTTTTCATGATAAATAGGGTCCTTTCAAAGTACAAAAAAACAAGTCAGCAGCAGAGAAGCACAGATTCCTAGCATTGAAACTAAAGGGAATTGTACCTGGGTGCCACAGATGGTTAAGTACTCGACTACTAACCAAAAGGTTGCTCATTCGAATCCACCCAGAGGCACCTTGGAAGAAAGGCCTGGCTATCTACTTTTGAAAGGTCCACAGCCATTGAAAACCCTAGGGAGCATAGCTCTACTCTGATACACATAAGGTTGCCATGAGCCAGAATCAACTGAACGTCAACTGGTTTGGTTCATCACTGAGGTCTGTAGAGAGCCACAAATTTAACAAGAACAAAACAGAACTACATTTCAAAGAACTGCATCTTAGAATGTTCTACTATGAGTTCAACATGGGCCTGTCAATGTGCAGTTTGGTGAACTGGACCATTCGGATTGGTCCCAGATTTGTCTCTCTCGGCTGAACAGGCTTTATCCAGATGGATGTATTGCATATCCTTGCGACTTTACTCAGAAAATGTCACTTCTCTGTACCACGTTTTTCCTAAGTGTTGAGTGGCAGCAGTTTAGTGTTAACAATGAAGAGCTCAGCACTGGATTTAAACAATTAGCCAAACTGAGGTAAGATTTGTGTCTTAGTTACCTAGTGCTACCATAACAGAAATATGACAAGTGGATGGCTTTAAAGAGCAGAAATTTCTCCTAGTTCTGCAGGCTAAAAGTCAAAATCAGAGTCTCAGCTGTGTTATTCTGTCTGTGGGCTTCTATCCTGGTTTCTAGTGTCTGCCAGCAATCCTTCCTGTTTCTTTGTTTGTAAACAGGTCCTCATATGGCATCTGTCCCCTGCCACCTGTGTGTGTCTCTGAGTCTATTCTGCTCTTTTTATAGCTCAGAAGTGATCACGTTTATGACCCACCCTACTCTGGTATGACTCATTAGCATAACAAAAGAAAACTCCTGTTTCCAAACAGGATCACGTGCACAACTACAGGGGCAAGAACTTCAGTATATATTTTGGGAGACTCAATTCAATCGATAATAATTGACACAGTCAGAAAGCTACCACTTAAACATTATCCACACAAGCCCTGGTGGCACAGTGGTTAAGAACTACAGCTGCTGACCAAAAGGTTGGCAGTTCGAATCCACCAGCCACTCCTTGGAAACCCTATGGGGCAGTTCTACTCTGTCCTATAGGGTCGCTATGAGTCGGTCGACTTGACAGCAACAGGTTTCGTTTGGTTTTTTTATAACTAGGTTCCCAACAGTGTGGGGAACAGTGGTTATAAAGGGCTTGTCTACACATACCAATTTTAAAGGGTTGTCTTTGAAAGGTTCTAATAGAACCTTTTATCTCAGTGGTTACTTAAGATACCAGAAACACACACAGCGTGGAAGAGGATAGATTCTAAACAGAATCTCTATAACTTAGACTTTTTAAGATTGCAGTGAAAGATTTCACTGTTGTTAAGCTTGTACTTCTAAAGGTCAAAGAAAACTTTGACTGATTAAACCCACTTTTCCTGATTAAACCCACAAAGCTGGATTCCATAAAAAATACGCGGCACTAAAGTTTTGTAACTTTTCCCCATGTAACTTGAAAGTGTGAGCTCTAGGGGTTTGGGTTTCATGAATACAAATAGTTTATCACAGTTGTCATTCTTTTTTTCACCATTTTCATTTGTGTAAATCTTCTGAAAGTTAAATCTAGAAGAGATGAAGGTGATACTGGTGTAAAGAGAAAGGTCCCACTGATGTGTGTACATACAAGAGCTTCTTGAAAAGAGAGACTAGGGAGGCTGGATATCTAAATGAGCTGTATTTTAAGTATATTTTTAAAGGGTTTTCTTACTGTAAAAACGCTACTAAAGTTAGTTAGCTAGTTTTTGTCTTTCAAATCTCGTCTTTAGAAATCAGTGTTCTGGTTCGTTAAACACAACTTGTTTGTTGCTTGTCACTAGCCATCAGGTCTATGGAAGATTAATGGATTTTAGTGAGTCACAGCTAAACATTAAACCGAGGTGTGGGTTTGTAGAAATATACATTTTTACAGTTATGAAGAGCTTGCGTTTGCAAAGTGAATGGGCTAAGCTTAAATTCCATGATAACAAATAGCTACTGTGGCATCTCTTGTGTTTATTATACTACTTTAGTTCTTATAGTCTATATCTTTTTATTCTGATGCATTACATTTCACCATTGCATTGAATACCAGCATTTTGTCCTTATTTTTGAGTGGTGCTTGGTAAACTGGTGTTTGCCATTATATTAGCTCAGAGGAATGGAATACTGGTCCCCTCTAAATTGCTGAGTGTTTAACATATTTTTGCACTTGTCTGTGTCACCTACAGTAATCACATTGATAAGAATCTATAGGAGAACTAATAAATGCTTACTAAATCCATTTCCCTCACTTAAACCAGTAAGTAGAAAGGTCTGCTCTCTGAGAAGGCCGTTATCATTGTTCTAAGGAGAAGAAATTCAGAGTGACCACTTTGGTAACAACAGCAATGTGCGTTCAACTATTAGTATTGAAAATAAGCTTTGGTGACTATTATCCATGTTAACATTTGATACCCTTTTCAAAATCACTTCCTTTTATATTCTGGCTATCGGAAAGTTTGAAGATTTTTGTACATTTGTGATTATTCATGTGAATAGTAATGAATTTTTCAGTGTCTTCAACTTTCATCCTAATAAATAATTCATTATTTAGAAAGTATAGATGATGTAATGTTTTTGAGAGTTACTAAAACTAATGTACCCATTTTAAATATTAATACAGATGGAAATTATTTAAATATTTTTTGAATATTAATAAAATGTCATTTTTGAGTATGCATAATTTTGGGTTAAAGGACAATGGAAATATGTATCAGATGCTTTTAAAATGTCTACCAGTTATTAGCATATGTAGATAATAATAGCAAACATTTTCCATAATGATTAAACTGCACCTTTTTAAAAAGCTTTAAAATAAAATTGACAAATGTATGAAAGCTAATATGTATATATTTTCTTAATTTTAGTCATGATTTCATTGGAGAATTTACTACAAGCTATAGGGAACTTTCTAGAGGGCAATCACAATTCAATGTATATGAGGTAAGGGGCATTTTATTTTATAATTTTTTTTCTCTAGAGGAAATAAATTTTATGTTCTAAAAGTATGAATTTTGCAAAGGATAATTGGCAAATATTAGCTAAGTACTAATATATGTAAAAATTTTTAAACTTATTGAACAAACTTGTTTATGAGATTAAATGATCCTATTTCTCTTCAAGTAACATAGCATGGTCTTTTAAATTTGTTTTAAGAGATTTTTAACTCTTGCCTATGAATTGATTTTTTTTAATTCAATATGGATGCAAGTTTATAATTACTTGAGCGCCAGACTTTCTGTTTTGCCTTTATACCAACCTCCTCCCTAACCTTTTTATAAAGAAGAAAAATACTCAGTTGTGGCAACATGATGTTATAAAAATGAGCTTAGTACGTTGAATACCTTCACTATTGTTTAGGTAGAAACCAAAGGGGATTGCAGGATATAAGTCAGTCATTAAATGCAACCCAAGTTATTAAATCAAACACGTCCTAATTATGGTGCAAACGGTTAACATATTTGACTGCTAACTAAAAGGTTGGAGGTTCAAGTCCACCCAGAGATACCTCAAAAAAACAAAAAACCTGGTGATCTACTTCAAAAAAATCAGCCATTAAAAACCCTGTAGAGCAAGTTCAACTCTGACACACATGGGGGTGCCACAAACAGGAGTCAACAGCAACTGTTTTTGTTTTTCACTGGTAGTTATTTCTGCCTTAAACCTACCTTACCAGCTAATCAGCAGATGTGTATGGAACATATGATATGTTTTAGCACTTGTAATCCCATAGCTATGTTATCTATATATTCCCTACTATTCTTTATTTAGTATATGTAGACAGTAAAGGACAATTTCTCAGTATTTAATCAATAATGGTAACTCTTCCATGCCAGGTTGACACTAAAATTGACCTCTTTTAAATTTTTTTTTAATTGAGAGTGGAAGAGTCTCATTTTTCTACTGTTTTCCTACTGGACTAAAGCAGTTGTATTCCATTCATCCATTCATTCATTGAATGAATATTCATTAAAATATTTATTGAGTAACTTTTATATTTCATGCTCTATGCTAGGCCCTGGGGCTACAGAGATTCATGAAAACTTCAGTGTCTAATGGGAGAGACAATCGCATAAAATATATAGTATAGTTTAAAAATTATACAAAAAAACCTAACCCATTACCATCAAGTTGATTCTGACTCATAGTGACCCTCACAGTAAAACTGTCTGATACGGTTTTGAAGGAGCAGCTGGTGAATTCGAACTGCCAGCCTTTTGGTTAACAGCTAGCTCTTAACCACTGCGCCACCAGGAGCCCAATAAGTGCTATATATACTAGTATACTTAGTGAACTATGAGATTATTGCAGAGGGGAGCCAAACTCAACCCAAAAAAATCTTCTCAGGCAAAGACAAAAGTGGTGTAATGGATAGATTTGTTCTATTTGGTTCTTTGAAGGAAGGAATATTAAAGCTCTAAATAGGCAATTAAAGTTATGTAAGGCATTATAATTATGCAGACGCCTGTTTTATCTTCCCAACCTCATTTGGGTCTTCAGATGCTGATGAGGAACAACACAGGTATACCAGTTCTCCTAGGCTTATGAGTGACCTACTGCCAGCACAGTATAAACCTCCAGAGATCAACTGCTTTGAGTTTTCTTGGCTTTTATAGTATTTTCCGCTCTTTGGTTCCAGATTAACCAAGAAAGATAGGCTTGAGCCTTTCCAAATTTAAGCTTCTTACCAATCTTGAAATCATTAGGTGGAGGGAGAGAAAAAAGACCTGCCATGTTTTGGCTAAGTCTATAGAACTGGTTGTTGTTGTTTGGTACCCTTGAGCCTGTTGGGACTCATAGCAACGCTACATACAACGGAACGAAACACTGCCCAGTCCTGCGCCGTCCTCACAATTGTTGCTATATTTGAGCCCATCATTGCAGCCAGTGTCAGTCCATCTCGTTGAGGATTTTCGTCTCTTTTGCCAACTCTCTACAAAGCATGATGTTCTTCTCCAGGGACTGGTCCCTCCTGATAACATGTCCTAAGTACGTGAGACGAAGTCTCTCCATCCTTGCTTCTAAGGAGCACTCTGGCTGTATTTCTTCTAAGACAAACTTGTTCGTTCTTCTGGGGGGCCGTAGTATATTCAATATTCTTCACCAGCACCATAATTCAAATGCATGAATTCGTCTTTGGTCTTCCTTATTCACTGTCCAACTTTTGCATGTAAATGAGGTGATTGAAATACCATGCTATGGGTCAGGTGTACCTTAGTCCTCAAAGTGACATATTTGCTTTTTAACACTTTAAAGAGGTTTTCTGCAGCAGATTTGCCCAATGCAATAGTTAGTTTGATTTCTTGACTGCTGCTTCCATAGATATTAATTGTGGATCCAAGTTAAATGAAATCCTTGACAACTTCAGTCTTTTCTCTGTTTATCATGCTGTTGCTTATTGATCCAGTTGTAAGGATTTTTATTTTCTTTATCTATAGAACCTACAGTGGTATAATCATAACATATTATAAATGACCACAGGAAATGAATAAAATTAATGTCAGTTATATTATTATTATTATATCAAATGCTTTATTGGTTGTTGAAACTGGCCTAATGTGATTAAATGAAAATTCTTTATGTAATTTAACCACAAAATCAAAAAACCTGAAATAATTCCTCTCCGACGGTAAAGTATGATGTACTAGAAGCCATAGATATTAATATGAACTATTTATAAGCTGCCTATGAAATTCTACTCAAAAACTTTTCACTCCTAAAATTTATAAAAACTTTCTATTCTAAGAGTTTATGCTAGATGGATGATTTTAGATAGCAAAATGCTAAAATGTAAATTTTCGAAGAAAAATATGTCACTAAAGTTTTTTAAAACATTTGTTTTATTCCCAGATTTCCTATTTATCGTTTAGTACTGTGCTCCTCAAATATTTTTGAGGAATTAAGGAAGTCCTCAGTTAAGGAATTTTAAATAGATGGAATTTAATATTCATCAAAAAATGACCATTTTTCAAATGAATTCCAAACTTTTGTTCCTAGCTCTAGGTTCTATAAACCAAAAAAACCAAACTCACTGCCGTTGAGTTGGTTATGACTCACAGCGACTGTAAAGGACACAGTAGAACTGCTCCATAGGGTTTCCAAGGCTGTAAATCTTTACAGAAGCAGACTGCCGCATCTTTCTCCCCTGTTGCGGCGGATGAATTACGCCGGCCTTTCAGTTAGTAGCTGAGCACTTAAACACTGTGCCACCAGTGCTCCTCCTGGGTTCTATACTGAGCCCTTTTCCTACACTTACAACTGCCCCTTGTTGTGGTTGTTGTTAGGTGCCATCGAGTCGGTTCCCACTCATAGTGACCCTGTACACAACAGAACAAAACACAGCCTGGTCCTGTGCCATCCTCACAATCGTTGTTATGCTTGAGCCTGTTGTTGTAGCCTCTGTGTCAATCCATCTTATTGATGAACTCCTCTTTTTTGCCGACCCTCTGTTTTACCAAGCATGATGTCCTTCTCCAGGGACTTATCCCTCCTGATAACATGTCCAAATACGTGAGACTTGCTTCTAAGGGGTGTTCGGCTGTACTTATAAGACAGATTTTTTCGTTCTTCTGGCAGTCCATTGTATATTCAATATTTATCACCAACACCATAATTCAAAGGCATCAATTCTTCTTTGGTCTTCCTTTTTCATTGTCCAGCTTTCGCATGCAGATGAGGCGATTGAAAACACCATGGCTTGGGTCAGGTGCACCTTAGTCATCAAAATGACATCCTTGCCTTTAAAAAAATCAAAACTAAACCCGTTGCTGATGAGTTGATTCCAACTCATAGCGACCCTATGAGACAGAGTGGAACTGCCCCATAGCGTTTCCAAGGAGCACCTGGTGAATTCGAACTGCTGACCTTTTGGTCAGCAGCCATAGCTCTTCTTTGCCTCTAGGACATTCAAATAACAGTCTCACAGTCATTGGATTAAAGATGAAACCCTACCTTTCTCCCCCAAAAGTCTTCTCCATATTTAATGGTATAACCATTGAATCATTTACTTAGTGTTAAAAATATGTCATCTTGCTGATGAGGGACTACATCCTGACCATTGCATGTTTCCATATAGAATGTGCTTAATCAGGGTTTTCTGGGGGAAAAAAAATTAATACACTGAATAATGAATACATGAATCTTTCAATTTTTCTTCTGTGTTATCTACCTATACCTGCTAAACCCAGTTATTTGATTTTCTGAATTTTTCTTGTGAGGCATTCTCAATGGTACTGACTTATTTAATGCCACATTTCCTCTCACATTGATAATTTAAAATAGGACCCTAACTGTTGTCTTGCCTTCAGTTTCTCTCTTCACAACTCCATCTCCTGTTCAGACATCCTTGAATTTGCATTATCAATTGAATAACACCCAAACTCCCTACCCTAGCATTAAGACTTTCCATAATATGGCCTCAGATGACCTTTTCAGATTCATTTTCATCTCTTCTCTATATGTCTTCTCTGTTCCACCCAACCTGGGCCAATTACTTTTTCCTCTTTCTAGAATGTTTTGCCTGTCTGTTTCTTTTTACTAAAGCCCTACCTAAATTAGTAAGTCCTAGTTCAAATAATACTTTCTTCATAAAGTCTCTAATCTTTATTTCCCTGTCAGAATGCTTTCTCCATTTTTTTGGATTGAAATGAGCTGAAGGACCCTCTCTTAAGACACTTATGTATCTCATTTTTTCCTATTACATTGAAAGGCCTTACTCATCTTTATATTCCCTATTTCCCCAGCACCTTGTACAATGTAGGAAAGCAATAATATTTTTTCATGCAATAACTAATTGAAAAATCATGAAGTCTGCAAATCAGACCTTTACCAATTAGTATGTAAATTATTATGCAACATAAGTATCCGGTGGAAATTAATGTCATTATGAAGCATTAACTGGGTCAATAGATTCCTTATTCATGCATTAGGTAACTTGCCATATAAGTGTATATAACCTGATTGAAAAAAAAAGTTATATCTCTCAGATATATTTTTCTTTAACAACCTCTAAATTTTTCTACAAAGCAGTCATTGTTATTTGAGACCTTGTATAATAAAAATCTCTGTCACATCAAGAAGATGCAGATGTTTTAAGAGTAACCAATGTATAAAGTGATTGAGAAGCATATTACTGTTACTAATTTTTGATAAAAGATCTTTTTAATTTTTTTAAGAAGATGATTACTAGTAAGTTTTGCAATAGTAGCCATACTGAATGTATTTGTAAATGAATGCATACATTTATAAATGAATACATGAATAATAAATAAATGCAGCAGACTGACTACATTTTTTTATTTCAATACGAAACATAACACATTTTAATTGTTTTATCTGCTTTTTTAAGGTTGTGAATCCTAAAAAGAAAGGAAAAAAGAAAAAATACACTAATTCTGGAACAGTAAGTCAATTTTTTTTTTATTCATTAAGGGTTCAAATTAGTGAACAAATTATACACACACACACATAGCTATATCTATATATATGTATATGTATAAGAGGAGCCCGGATGGGGCAGAAGTTAAGCACTTGGCTGCTAACCAAAAGGTTGGCAGTTTGTACCCACCAGCCACTCTGAAGGAGAAAGATGTGGCAGTCTGCTTCTGTAAAGTTACAGCCTTGGAAACCATATGGGGCAGTTCTACTCTGTCTATAGGGTCACTATGAGTCAGAATCAACTTGAAGCCAAAGGAGTTTATGTATGTGTATACACACACACACACACACACACACACACACACACACACACACACATACACACCTTTTTGATCAGACCAGAAGCAACTAACAAAACTCTGCTGTGTTTCACTCAGAATTTTAATATGAAAATATATAATAGAAAAATTAACTTCCTGTGGGAGTGATTATAATGAAGGATGCCTTGTAGGAGGTAGTGGCTGCAGTTGCTGCAGGTTGTAAGGCCCTCTGAGGGAAGCTGAAGGTTGGCTACGAACTCTTCACTCGATGGAAGCAGACTACGAGCAATCAGGCAGGCATGAAAAAGTTTAAGTATTAGTAAGAAACACTATATCTTCCTAGATTGCACTTAACAATTAAGACTCATTTTGTGGAATGTGGAAGTGCTCATTTTATAGTACATTAAAATGTGCAGCTTTGTGGAAATGCTGTACTAAGTCAGTAGGGAGGGTGCAAAGATCAGTATGTCTGAACATTGTGAAAAGTCAAAATCATCCTCATTTCAAGAAAAAATATACTGAAGATTTTTCCCTGAGATGAACTCTGCTGGAGAAAGGCAAAACTTTCTGAGTTTTCTCTAAGTTTCTTTTTAAAAATTTCATCAATCTGCTAAAGCAAGACAGTTAAAATATTAGATGACCCCATCAAAGATACCTGGCAAAAACACGTTTCATCTTTTACAGCTTAGCTTACTGATTTTGATTTTTTAGTTTTAACCATTTTCCAGCTCCCTTTCATCTTTCCTTTCATCTGAAATGGGAAGTAACAAGTATTCTTATGGCTAATATTCATGTTGTTCTTCAAAAGATATAAACCGGTCCTAGAAATCAGTTATTTTTTTTTCTAGGGAGGCCCCTTTTCTTTGGATAATTCAAAATGTAAGAATAATCAATCCTAGCAGATTTTAATAAAGAATAATCGCTTTAGTGATTTTCAGAATACTCGAAAATATGATTTTCTTTCTAATAGTAAAAAAACCTCTGTGGTTTCAATTAGTACTAGCAGGTAATCCCACCTTGTTTTCATTTTCAGGTAACTTTACTCTCTTTCTTGGTGGAAACTGAAGTATCATTCCTTGACTATATTAAGGGAGGGTAAGTCATTCTCTGAAATTGTTTCATTGCTTCGACATTTCTTTGAGTGTGTGTAGCAAATACTACCACTAGATACCAGGCAAGTGAACTGATCCCCTTCATTATATTTTGATGGCAGACTTATTGCACTTTTGTTTCAGACCTAAAATGATAAACTTACATAGCAAGAGCTATTACTTTTGGAAAAAATTGTAACTTTTTTTTGACCAAGAGAAAGAACTTTATTATGTTGTTAATAGTTGTAGATAAAGCTATTATGTGCACTTTCATAGAATACTTTCTTTTGCCTAACACATAGGGCTTTTTAGATGTACTTTTTATTATTTTTTAAATTAGGAGAAAAGCTTGAGGGCTTGTTGCAAATGTATATTCTAGCTTCAGGATATTAAAGGAATGTATCATGTAATAAAATCATAATGCAGAAATGGAACTTGAATGGTCATTTAGTTGCTCCCTAGGCTTCCAGGCAGGAATACATTTCAGAAAAAAATGGTCGCTGTAACCATTCTCGGAATTTTACAGAGTCCAGACAGAAGCTGCTTTGGGAACATATTATGCATACTTATGCTATAATAAATGGGGCATTCTTCCCAGTTTTGTTTCTATCCTTAACCTATTTTAACCTAATCAAGTAGCCCCAGAGCCTGAAAACAGTTATTCATTACCATGCAGTCTAAAATGTCCACTTACTCTAATTTACTTGATTACCTTTTATATACAATATACAAAATATGCTAAAAATGGTGAGAGGCAAATTTGAATGTTTAGTAATGTCACAATTAATAGCAGCAGTCAGGCATCACTCACATAAACCTCTTCCTAATTAAAATTCAGCAGTATTTTTTTCTAATACTGATTCACTGATAGAATGTCATCAGCCAACTAGTGAGATGAGAGAATAAGGGAGCCAAGGGAACAATAGTAGTTTCACAAAAATGATAGAAAGCTTGCTGTTCTTTGTTCTTATTTAGGGAAATACAACAAACAGAAAATGATACCTGCCTAAATGGGGAATCTTTGCTATGTACAGGCATCTTGCAACCTGCTACCTTGCTGCCAGACTCAGAAACTACAGTGGTTGTTTCAATAAAATTAAAGGAAAAAGTATTAAGTAGAAAATTTTTTTCCACCTCTCTTCAGTATCCCAATATCTGTGCATATTTTTACATTTAAAAGATGGAAAAATAGAAAGTTGAATTCGTCATAAAAATAGATTTTATTCCTGTGTAAGTAAACTCCTTAGTTGTAGGTAATAGTTGATAAAGATAGAAGGTAAGACAATGATCAATGAACTTTTTTTAAAAAAGTGCTTGATATATCTGGCTACACTTTCCATGCTGAAATAACACTTTGAAATTTAAAATGCTAAAAATTCCTTTCAGTTTTTGTTCTTTTTTGTTTTGTTTTGCTTTGTGAGCATGTGAAGTGTTTGTGTGTGTGTGTGTATGTAAGAAATCCTCGATATGTTTTGTCAGCAGTTAAATCCAGTAATATTTTGATTGAGTCCATCAGTAAAAAACATTTTCAATGTCTGTTACCAGCAAATTACTTTCACTGGTTGTTCATATTCTCCTTTCGAGGATCCTTCAGGCTAAAGCAAATGAGCTTCTTATAATACCTAGACCAATGATGGTCTTGACTTAATTGCACTGCCATATTTTTCTAATGCCTACAACCTCCAAAATTCTTTATCTTGGCTTATACACTTCCTGTTTATAGTACTACCTGTGCTGGACCAACTGCTGATGACATTTTTCTGTCAGAAGTGGGTGTGTAAATGTAGCCCCAAAGTATGTGGTATTCTTTGATCCAATCCTGGCTTCCCGAGACTTTTGTAAGAACCCATTGTTAATTTACAAATGGAGTCAAGGGAAGTGAAGTTTGAATTTTTCTATGTAACTAACCTAACTAGACTTACTCTAACTTCAATAAAAGCGTGTTATCTGAAATGACATGAGAAAAAATAAAAATATATTTATATATATTATTGCTATAGAAAAATGTATTTACAAAATATATATAATATCTTTTAAAGAGATACAATTACACGTTTACCTAGTAGTCATGACTATTTGTAATATTTATGAGCAAATTACAGAGCTATTAATATAGTTTTCCTCCTGAGAATGGAATCCAAATGAACAAGCAATAGTGATTAATTCTATTTATGTTTTTTCTCTGAAAGACTTGCTATAAGCAATTGGGTACAAAATTTAAATTCTGATTTTTATTACAGATGTCGTGAGGAGATCTGAGTTATTTCTCTGGCTCTATCATGACTCTCTTCATAGTATATAATGTAGTCAAACAGTTACATATGTCTAAACTTCAGTTTCTTGTAATTCGCGTGAGTCTCTGTAGTTCTACAGCTCACTTGTAATGTGACGGTCTTCAACTAGATCTTGTAGATCTTCCATGACCTCATTGATAACTTTTTTTTTTTTCCTTTGCTCTAAAGTTACTATTTATAGTCTTACAAAAGACTTACTAAAACTTATCAACTTACTATGCAATGTAAGGAGCCCTGATGGCGCAGTGGTTGAGAACTCAGCCGCTAAGCAAAAGGTCGACAGTTCGAATCCATCAGCCACTCCTTGGAAACCTTATGGGGCAGTTCTTCTGTGTCTTACATAGTCCTTATGAGTCGGAATTGACTCAATGGCAATGAGTATACAATATAATTTACATAGGCTAATAAAATAATAATAGATATAATAATAGCTAACATTTGCTGATACTTACCATGTGCCAGATCTTGAGTTAAGTGCCTCATGGGATTAACTTTCTCCATCTCTCCCATCTGCCCCTCTACTCTTCTTTTTCTCTTTCTTCTTCCTCATTTTCTCATGAGTAATATTCACACTGATAGTTTTCTCTTTCCAAAGATAATTAGACTTAAAGTCATTTACTTTTTGTCCTGTTTGCTTTTCAGTCTTTGTATAACTGATATTTAGCACCTAATTGCAGCCAGTCAAACATATAATTTAATTTATTTAGCTTAAGAAAAAATGATGTCTTAGCATGCAGAATATATATGAATTTGATTATTAGATGTTTGTGAAGATTTGAACTTTAGCTCTGTTTAACTAGTGGTGGGGATTGATTAGGATATTTACTTCATAGGATGTATGATAGGCTCTAATAAGAAAAGAAGACTGAAGCTTCATGTTCCTACCTTTTTTTAGAAGATTTCTACTGGTATGAAATAAATCATAGCAATTTGAAATGGAGAATACCAATATTAAAATCACAATAGAAATAAAATGACTGCAAACATATCTTCCAAATATTTCATTGAATAGTTTTTATTCTTCTTGATAGACTACCTATCATTATTTTTTTACCTGCCTGTTTTAGACATTGTAAGGATTTTGAGCTTTCTGCCTTTGCTGCTTAAGAAACCCCAACCTCCAAATAGATAATGTATTGCAGTGATGGAAAATCGTATTAAAAGCAGATACTTAATTAAATCAAATGTCTATGTAATAGCAATATAGAGTATAATGAGCTGACTGATTTCAAAGTAGAATTAATTAATTGGTAGTTAATTATATATAGTTTTGTTGTTGAAACACAGGAGTACAAGTAATGGCTATGGACTCTTGGTGAATAACATCAGTCAGCATTTCTAATCTCTTGTAACTAAAAAAAAAGTTCTGAAAATTGCTTAATATCTCTGATATTTTGTGTTCTTCACAGTATTTATTCTTCTGAAATCACAGAATACTTTTGTTGTATTTCATTAGGTTTTTTTTTTTTTTCCTCAGTCTTGGGATAAAGAAGTATTATGGCTTCCAAATGTTAAAATATCTATATTTTCTGTTTCACATCATAAAGATAATATGTAAAATGATAAAAAGAAAAGTTAGATAAAATGGAAAACATGAAGTATGAAGTTAGAATTTGGTATATGTTTTTCTCCATCTATTCCCTAGCATATATCATCATTTTTTATAACAGAGGGATCGCACTGTGCACCATATTTTGTGTTGTCTGTTATCTTCATTTAGTATATTGTGTATATATATTTTCATGTCAGTACTTATATATTTACCTTATTTTTATTAACAGTTTTCCATTAAGATATATTTCTGTATATAGCCTCCTTTTTTCCCTCCTATTATACACAAGGCTGCAACCTACAACCCTGGTGCGTACCTTTTCGTGCACTTGATTAAGCATGTCTATAGAGTAATTTTCTAGAAGTCGTGTTGATGGATTAAATATTATGCATATTTTACAATTTGTTAGGTATTTCTAAATGTGTCACTGAAAAGCTGTAACAATTACACTCCTAACATCTGTGAATGGAAATTTACCACATCCTTACCCATAATGAATGGTGTCACTCCTTTTTCATTTTTGCTAATCGGATAGATAAATAGTAAGTCATTACCAGTTTTGTTTGCAGATTATTTAGTTATCCGTGAAACCTCTATTTATTAGCCATTTGATATCCTCTATAAAAGCCATGTTAAACCAACTGTGTCTTTGGAAACATGATTTTCTGAAACTTTCTTTTTTTCTCTTCCTTTGCTCTCTCTCTTCAGTTCCACTATAAAGAATTGAGTATTTTCAACTGAGGACAGAGAACAAAAGGTAGCTACATCTCTTAGTGTGTTGAACGCTTCAGCTAAACTTTCCCAATAGTCACACCTTGGTCTTTGGTACTACTTCTCTTCAGAGCTGTCTAGAGAGACTCTTCGTACTTTAGCCCATTTACCCTTGCCATTTGCCCTCTGATTACACTGAAGAAGGACAATAAAATAAACACTTTGGGTCACAATCAACCGAGCAACCCAAAGTAGTATATTGGCGGTAATATTAGGACATTTGAAGATTTGTGGAATTATCATGGTTAGCTTTTTTGAAGAGATAATCATGTTTCAAAATAAGTATGATATTTCAGAAGCAATTGAAACAAAGTACTGAATTCTATTTGATTTTTATACTGAATCACAGTAACTCTTCACTTTTAACTTAAAATACCAATACATTGT